CCCCTTCAGAGTGGGCACCCCTGCCTGCGACAGGACTGGACCTCTGGACTCTGAGAGGAACCAGGACCGCGGCCTGGCCGGCCTGCACACAGGGGCCCCTCACCCTGTCCAGGCCGTCCAGGTGTTGGCAGAGGCGGTGGGAGCCCTCAGCAGGCCTGGCAGGCGCTCAGGACCCTGTTTGCCTTGAGCGGTGGCTGGAGCCAGGTGGTCACTTCTCCCTTCAAGGCCCCAGGGCCCAGCCAAGCCACAGGGAACACGTAAACACCAGCCGGGCAGGGTGGCGGCGGGCGGGAGGAGTGCACCAAGAGACCCCCACTCCCCAGGGGGCCCCATCCAGCTCCCACCTGTCCCAGGATGTGGACAGGCTGCTGCTCTGGCCAGCTTCCCACGCCCAGGCTTAGGAGAAGGAGCTCTATGACAGGATAGAGAGCTGTTTGCTGTTTTTTTTGAGATGGGGTCTCAGTTGCTCAGGTTGGCCTCCAACTTGTGGTCCTTGTGCCTCCTCAACCTCCCAAGCAGCTTGCTGGAGAAGGACCTCTGAAGACCCTGGGAAGGAACCGGCCTCGCCTTGAGGGGTGCAAGCCAGCCTGCAGCCTTTGCTCAGAGGGAGTCCCAGGGACCCAAGGGCTGAGCCGGGGCCCAGCCTGAGGGGGTGGTGTGGAGCTCCACACACAGTCCTCACCCAGGAGGTGTGCAAGAGGAGCCCTAGGCAGAGGGAAGGAAGGATCAGGGGGCCGTGACCTCACTCCAGGGATCTGGGAGGATCCAGTCCAGCTCCAGGATGTTTGTGGGGGCACAGCCCGGCCCCAGGGATCTGAGAGGGTCTGGGCTCTGCTGTGGTTGTGAGAAGAGGTGCACACCTGTGACCCCTGCTATGCTGGAGGCTGAGGCAGGACAATCACAGAGAGATCCTGTCTCATAATTTAGAAAACATTCTGGGGACTGAGGATGTAGCTTAACGGTAACGTACGTGCTTAGCATGAACGAGGCCCTGGGCTGGGTCCCTAGTACTGCTGGCGGTGGCTGTGGAGGACCCAGTGGGGGCTGGACAGCTCTGAAACACAGGCTGGGTCGGGTCCAGCTCCCTGCCCCTGGTGCCGCCTCAGCCAACTCCAGGAGGATGATGCCAGCCTCCCGAGTAGCCAGCTGGATAGGACTGACCATGGCCAATGAAAACAAGCCTTGGCCAGGGGGCTGGTGGCCTGGCCAGGAGGAGGGGGACTCCGGAGTCTGCAGGGGCCCTGGCCCAGCTGGCTAAGAGTGCATGCTGTGTGGCCCCAGGGAAGCCACCTATGCTCTCTGGGCCTCAGCTTCTCCACCTCAGTCCCCAGGCTGGGATTTAGCAACCTAGACAGGGCCCCTGTCCTCCTCTTGGACAGAACTGAGACCTTCAGGACCCAAGGCCAAGATGTCCCTCGGTTCCCTCCTGTAGCGTCACAATCACGCAGGTGTGGAGACGAAGGGGTGTGAGACCCTACCTTCCAGGGGCGTGGGGTCAACACTTCCAGGGTGCCTCTGGGCAGGAAAGGGGCCAGGGCCCGGGAGGCAGGACACCAGGATTCCAGGCCTGCGACATCCTTTCTGGCTCTGGATCCCACCCGTGGGTGAGGGGAGGGCAGGCAGGGTTTGGGAGGCTGATGGCCAGGCCCAGCAGGGGGGAAGCGGGCAGAGCCACTGGGGTGGGGGCTGGCCTGTGGGAGCTCTGAAGACAGACATCCCCCATCACCACCCCCGGGGTTCCTCCTGGCTTTGCTTCCCAGGGACAGGAAGGCGGGGTGAGCTCGGGCTGCAGGATGAGCTCCGGGATATCCCAGGCCCTTTTTCCAGCCCTATGCACCCAGTCAAACCCATTCCCCTTCTGGGCCTGGCCCATGAGGCCTTTTGCCAACTCTTCTCTGCCCAGCGCGCCATGGCCTCCTCTGCCCAAGGCAGCCTGTCCCTGTCCCCACACCCTCCAGCAGCTGTGAGGAAGGGACAACTGTGGTGTGGACCACACCTTGCCTGTGGCTACACTATCACTCTACCTGCCCAGCAAGCTCATCTGCATCTGCAGGATCTAGGATGCCGTGTCAGTTTGTGTGTGTGTGTGCGCGCGCGCGTTTACAGGAATGTCTGTGCTGTGTGTCCATGGCTCCATTTGTGCTGTATACGTGTCTATGTGCCATGTATACGTGTCTGTACGCTCATGCGAGTATATTTACGGTGTGATTGCCAGTGTGTCTATTTTTGTGTGTCTGTGTACATGTGTATGTCTGTGTGTGTGTGTGTGTGTGTCTGTGTGTGTGTGTCTGTGTGTGGACCCATGGTCTGCAAATGCCGCCTGTGGGTGGAATTTGGCTTCCAGACACATTTGGTTTGGCCCTCACAGTATTTTCAACATCTTGAGCCAACATTTAAAAATCAGGATATTTCACATAAAAATCCAGCTTTCCAGCTTCTCTGAAAAATTCAGAAGCCCTGGCAGTCCCCGTCTGTGTTCCCATGAGGCCACTCTGCTCCCGAGCCTCGCGGCCGGCCCTGTCCTCCTCCTGCAGCCTGGCCCACTTACCTCACCCACGAGCGAGCACCCTCAGAACAGCAGGATTCGGGACCCCCGGGCGTGTGGTCACAAGTGGACAGGAGCCTGGCCACCAGTGTGTGCGCGCATGACTGTGTGTGCGAGGGCTGCGTGTGTACAATGCGTGTGTGCACGTGTAAGGCAAAGCTGTGCATGAGGCAAACCTATGTGGCAGTGTGTTCACGAAAGCCGGCATGTGTGTGTGAGAAGTGTTCGTGGGGGCATGGGTGTGCAGACGTGCGTGCACGTGTGTGTACGTGGGGTGTGGCCACGTGGAGTGTGTGAACCACTGTGGTCTGGCGTGCTCTGCACAGGGGCCTCCTCCGGCCTTCGAGGGGAGTCAGGTTCCCGGCTTCTGGCTGGGCTGCCTTGCGGGATTTATTTCTGTCTCGGTGCCCACTAGAGGCCTGAGTAATGGGAACATTTAAAGAGAACCAGTAAATTCGAACAGAGGGGGCCGGCTGACCGGGAAACGGCCCAGACGCCCTGCCCAGCCCGCGGCTGCGGGAGCCCGAGGCCAGGCCTGAGCACAGGAAGGAGGTGGCTGTGGGGCCGGCGTGCGCACCCACGTGTTCTGCAGGCTGCTCCTTTCTATCCCAGCCCGCCTGCGGGTCCCCGGGCCAACAGTGGGCATCCTGACAGCGTGGCTCCACTCAGCAGGTGTTCGGGGCAGGTCCAGAGCTGAGGGTCCTGAACTCCAGGGCCCAAAGGGTGCTGTCCCAGCCAAGCCACAGCGGGTCCGCGGCCCAGAGGTTCTGTGTGCGCAGTCTCCAGAACAGGTAGGCGCTCCGCAGCCCAAGCCACTGCTCCAGTTCAGGTGGACCAGCCACCCACACGGGACGCAGGAAGTCAGGTGACGTGCCCACTGCAGACCCTCTTGGGCAGGCAGCAGGCAGCGTGGCCTGTTCTCCAGTCCCTGCACCCGGCCGGCGTCCTATGCTGCCCCCGAGTGGCCGTGTGAGGAGCATCTCCCAGAGGGCTGAGCAGCTCTGAGGGGGCCCCTGGGATCTCTGGAGCCGGCAGGAGGGGGTAGGGTAGGGACGAGGTCCTCCCGGCTGGTCTGAGGTGAGGCAAAGGGCCAGGAGGCCAATGCCTGGGAGGCAGCTCTGGCACAGGGTCACAGGGTATCATCACGTGGATCAGTACCTAGGACAAGGCTGCTTCTTGGGAACATATTGACCAGTGACAGACTCCTCCAGAAATGTAGGGGGTGGGCAGGGCCCAGAGCCCCCTGGGGAGGCTGCTGGCCGCGAGGGTCATCTCATCAATGGAGCCTGGGGAGTGGGGCGGCACACAGGTCTGCAGGGCTTGGGCTGAGGCTAGATGCTGGTTTCCTTCACAAGGCCACCGCTCCTCACTGTGGTCACAGGGCCTTGTGCTGGGTGGTGCCTCCTGTTCCTGTGACCCCAGGTGCCACTTCCTCCCAGACCTCTTTTGTAGGGCTGGGGACCCCACAGCGGGGGACCCCCTGGTGTGTGCACTAACCCTAGGCTCTTTCTCCCTGCCTGCTCTCTTGCTGCCTGTCCTTCAAGTCTGGGTCTTTCTTTTTGCGGCGGCGGGGCACAAGATCTTGCTGTGTATTCCATGCTGGCCTTGAACTCACTATGTAGCCCAGACTGGCCTCAAACTTGAGGCAACCCTCCTGCCTCAGCCTCCCAAGTGGTATGATTACAGGCTTGCACCTCCACACCTGGCAGACCCTGAATCTTGGGACCAGAGGGCCATTTTCTTGTCCTGCTGCTGCTGAACATGCCAGGCCTAACACCCATCCTGAGATGGAAGAGACCAGGTTTCCTGGGGAGCCCTAAGCAGGAAGGGCCTGAAAGGCCGGGAGGTTGTTTAGGGATGCACCAGAGCAGTGCCTGTGAGCTGGGCGACAGCAGGCACATACAGGGTCACAGAGCCCCTCTTCACCAACCCCTCCAACCCATGCCAGGACTCACTGTGACTAACTTTAAACTAAACCCCTGCTGCCACCCCCACAGCTTGTGATTCAGACTCCAAAATGGCTGTTCTTACTTTTAAACCCAGAAAGCCTGCATATTTTAACATGTTGTGTTAGGCAGCTTTCCTTACTGTGATAAAAATCCCTGAGTCGTCAACTTAAAGAGGAAAGATTTATCTTGACTCCCAGTCGAGGTTCCAGTCCAAGATGAGCTGGTCCTGACGCTCTGGGCCTGTGGCAAGGCAGCATGTCACAGTGGGGACAGCGTGGGGTTGCAAGCTGCTCACCTCACGGCCACCAGGACCCCCGTATCTCTTTCCAGGGCACAGCCCCACTCATCTGACTCCCTGTCACATGCCCCACCTCCTACAGCTTCCACAACCTCCTAGAAGCATTCATAAGGCCCCAAATTTGAGTTCCAGGAAAACAAAACAAGGAAAAACAGCAACCTGTATCCTGGTGTTTCAGATCCTTGCTTGCCATTTGTATTTTTAAAACGTTTTTCTTTTAAAATATAGACTCACAGGAAGTTAAAGGAGCAGAGCGGTCCCATGTAACATTAACCCTTCTCCAAGGTCACATCTTCCATAGCTGCAGTACAGTATCCAAACCAGGCACAGAAACTGGGTGTGTGTGTGCGCGTGCATGCACATTTGAGACAGCTTCTCGCTATGTAGTCCAGGGTGGCCTTGAACTCATTACGTAGCCCAGGCTGGCCTCAAATTCACAGCAATCCTCCTGCCTCAGCCTCCTGAGTGCTGAGATTACAGGTGTGCAACACCACACCTGGTGGTATATTATTTTTTAAGAAATTGCCAAACTATTTTTCCAGCATGGCCATACCATTTTACATTCCCAGCAACAATATACAGAGATTCACTTTCTCCACATCCTTGCCAGCATTTGGTATTAATGCTTTTTAACTTTAGCTGTTCAGATAGGTGCCTGCTTATGCCATGGTTTTCTTTTGCACTCTGTTATGTACTCTACCTGACTCCTTTACAGCTTACGTAGTTTGCAAGTATTTTCTCAGTCTGCAGCTTTTCATTCTCTTAAGAGGGTCTCTGTTGTAGCAAAAGCTTTTAAGTCCAATTCATCCATTTTTCCTTGATGGGTTGTGCTTTGTCCTTGGGTTTAAGAACTCTTCACTAAATCTTAGGTCATGGAAGTTTCCTCCTTTCTAGTCTTCTAAATGATTTATGGTTTTATTTTTAAATTACAGACTTGGAGTTCATTTTTGTCGAAAGCCTGAGGCGTGTGAATGTATTTATTTTTTGCCTACAGACGTCCAATTACTCCAACACGGTCTGCTGAAAAGACATCTTTCCCTCATCGAATTCATGCTGCACCCTGACCACGCTCACCTGCCAGCCCTGAGCACTGTTCCACGGCCTTCCCACAGTACCAGTCTTGACTACCGGAGCTGCACAGTAAGTCTTGAAATGGGTTGAGGGATTCCTCCCGCTCTGTTTAGTTACAAATTGTTTAACTATCACTGATCCTTTGCATATACATTTTAGAATAACCTTATTTACATCTAGAAAAAGCCTTCGTGGGATTTTGATAAGAAGTACCTAAAATCTATGATTTCTCTGATGAAACATTTGGTTTTAGAGATTTCTTCTTCAGGATTTCAAAGTTACAGATGCAACTTCCTTACTAGTTTCAGAGCTATTCAAATTATCTATTTCATTTGGGGTGAGGCGTGGCAGTTTGTACTTTAAGTAACTGATCCTTTGTATCTGCTTGTCAAATTTTTGTTGGTACTTTAGTCCCCTTGCTACTTTCTCTGTACGTGAAGTATGATCCCCTTATCTCATGCTCCACGTTTATGATCTGGCTTCTCTTTGTGAGCCTCACTAGGCAATCCTCAGTTTTACTGACTGTCCCAACATGCAGCGGTCTCTGTTCACCACGTCTCCCCACATCCTACAGCCCTGCTGGCCATGTGTCCAGCACTCCCTGCTCTTTCCTTCTCACAAGATGCTTCAATCACAGTGGCAAAATGCCCAGCCTAACACATCCTTGCTCTCCGTGTGGCTCTGTAGCCAGGGGTGGCCCTGGGACGCAGCGATCCAGTCATAAGGAAGGGCAAACCTAGTGGGCAGGGCTTGAAGTCATGGTTTTATCAGCCAGTCTGGCCTCTTTCTCCCCCTGCCATGGCTCAGACCTGCAGGGCAGCAGGTGCCACATTAGGGAGACAAGGATAGCAACTGAGGGGACAGAAGGCATTCACACCTGGTGGCCTCAGGCAGCCACTATACTGCCTTGGACTTCACAAGAAAAATAAACCTCTTTTTGTCAGACCCAGCTGTGGTTTTCTGCCACATGTACCACTGCTTCCTACATCAGCCTCTTGGTCTCACCCTGTTCTTGCCCTATATGCCTAACTCTTTAGTAATGCACACCCTTTAGTAATTTTCTCAGCAAAGATCTGTGCAGAGTAAACAGTGTCATAAGCTGGTGGAGATCACGATGGAGCAGCCGAGCTGGACTTAAATTAACCATTTGGCTTTTTTATGTTTACTTGTGAATCTGTCCAAAGCCTAGGCCGCTGGTCTGGAAGTGGGTGACAGACTCATAGTAAGTGAACCTCTGTGAGTCACTGATCCCTACTAAAACCTGCAATGGCGGATGTAGCCAGAAAGCCTCAAAGGATAAAATAAGATCACAGCCAAGGACACCTGGATCTGATCTCAATTAGATAAAGACTATAGCCTCAGGCATCTCATTCCTGGGTGTATTAACATAATCCTTATCAAGGATTAACTTAATACCTTACTTGGAGAAGTCCTTGAGTAATTCTGCCCTTCTTGAGTACTCCCCTCCCTTCTTCAGATAACCAAATAAAGAAGGTCTTGGTCTTAGCCCCAAGAGAATCTCAAATTCTGTGAGAGGGCTTTGAACCTCCTGGAGCCCTAAAATCAATCCATTTTCCTCTTTTTATGTCACCTTCACGGTACACTCCTTCAGGAATTGTGGGCCTGAGCAGACCGCAATAACTAAGGGATATTATTAACCCAACAATAAGCCTCTAAGTGCCTGTCCTGGCATTAAGGTAACTGAGTGTGCTGAAATTTATAGTAGCTCAGCATACATAGGCAAGCTTGGTTTTTTGTTATCTATTGTCCATCAATAATCTTTTTTATTTTTTACATGTAGTTTGTATGATTTCTCTCCTTACCTTCAATGTTTTAATCTAGACCACTATTCAAACTGCAGTTATAGTAAAGGTGCTCTTTAAAAAGGCTGATATACAGCATACAGACTAGAATGTATAAATGAGTAAAGTGAATTTCCATCACTCAAACCAAGACAAAGAACATTATCAGTACTTTAAGGGATGCACTGCAGAGCAAACTGCAAGTCTGAGGCTGATGATCCCCACACACCCATGTACCCTTAGCCTACGGTTTCACTCTGCCAGTTTTGGGAGCATCACGTGAATGGTTCACGCTGTTGCATGCCTAATTTATTTCAAGATCTGTCCATGCTGCTGTGTGGCTACAGCTCTCTCACGGCACAGAGCAATGCAGGGTAAGAACCACGATTACACATCACTACATGCTGATTTTGACTCTGTGGGCACGTGCTACCACAAGCAGCGCTTCAAGCATCCCCGGCCCCTGGTGCACACAAGCACCTGTCCCTAGCACAGACAGTAGGACTGCTGGGTCTTGGGGTGGCCTTGCCACCCAGCCCTGTCCGCAGTGGGTGAGCCCCCAGAGCCACGGCACAGCGGTGCAGTCAGGAACGCTGTGTCTCAGAGCCTCGCTTTCTGGACATTACTCCAGCCAGCTCTGCTTTCTTTTGCTGACTCTGTGCTTGACCGAGCTTCCCCAATCTCTCTACTTTCCAGCTCACTGTTTGGGTTTAGGTTTCTCTTTTACACAGCATCAAAATGAGATTTAGAGAACAGCCTTCAGGGCTCATTGCAGCCAGCACTCGGGAGCCTGAGGTAGGAGGATCGTGGTGAATTCTGGGCCAGCCTGAGCTCCATAGTGAGTTCAAAGAGGCCAGCCTGAACTACACAGCAAAACCCCACCTCAAAAAAAAAAAAAAAAAAAAATCACCGTTTCCTGCTCCCTCTCCACGTATAATTTTCAGGAAGGCCTGGCTTCCACCCCTCGATACAAACACCATGTGGGAGCCTCAGTTGTTCATTCATCCAAATGAATACCAACATCAGGTTTTGGGGTTCCAGTCACCCAGTCACTGACACCCAACCCTTCCCAACCTGCCACTCCAGCCAGGGCTGATGCGTTTGCCTATGCCACCTGGTGGTCACTGTGGAAGACACTGTGCAGAAAAATAAAGACCAAAAGACAAAAAAAAAAAAAGGTGGCCTTCAATATTAATTGTAAGCGCGAGGTCCTGAGCTCGATTCCTGGTACCAAAAAAAAATTAATTGTAATCCCTGACATCTCTGAATTCATTTATTCATCCTATCTTTGCTCTCTCTGCTTTCCTTTGGATATTCTTTTCTTATTCCATCTTTCACTCAACTAGTTTCAAAGGGATGCACTAATTGACTGATGGACTGACTGACTGCAGTAGTGGGACTGAACCCAGGGCCTTTGCACTGAGCTACATCCCGAGTCTTTTTTGCATTTTAGGTTTTGAGACACAGTCCCACTACGTTGTCCAGCCTGTGCTCAGACTTGTGATCCTCCTGCCTCTGACTCCCAAAGTGTTGGGATGACGGGCACGTACCACCACACCCTGCTCAACGTACCCAAAGTGTACAATTCAATGGGTTCTAGCACCTTCACAGATCTGTGCAACCAGCACCACAAGGACTTTTTAATTTTCCCAAAGTATTCTTTCTAGTTAGGGTCTGCAGGTGACAGAAATCCCTGGTTTTGTGTAAGACATTTCTCTGGGTGTGAAACTCTGGGTTGGAGGTTTCCTTTTAGTCCAGTTATGCTGACACCAGGAGTTGTGCTGGCTGACACGGCTGTTCCAGCAGTGTTTTCAGTAGAGTTTTTAGAAGCTTTTTTTTTTTTAACCTCCAGGGCTATGGTGACTGTCCTGGGCTCCATTCTCACTGCTGTGTAAATGAGTCAGTCTGTGCCAGGGAGGCTCTGGGTTCCCGCAGTCCCCTCATGCCAGTGTGGAAGAGGCCTCTTTCCAATATCACTGGCAGTGGATCTTGTTCAAGATCAAAATTAGATGTTCAATGTGTTTTCATCTACTGCTCAGGTTCATTTTTATTTCTAATTAGATGCATTCTGTTGGCAGCTCTTATGCTCAAGATTTTCTTTTTACTGGTTTGTAGAAGCTATTTTAGTGAAGAACATAAAAAATAGCCGTAAAAATTTATTACAGTAAAAGACTCATTGCCAAGAATAATGGGATAAATGTGTTCAAAGCAAGAGGGGTTACTTTGAGGGAGATTAACAGCAATGTTTCTTTTACTGTAATAAAAATTTTAAACATTCACTGTATTTTTTATAGCACTTCATTGATCAACTTTTTATGGCAATTTCTGTCAACATTACAATGTGTCCTCACCCACCTTTTCACCGGATCTGGCACTGTGTGACCCCTGGCTCTTTCCCAAAGTCAACATGACCATGAAAGGGAAATCGATTCAGGACATCGAGGCAGCCATGACTGCAACTGAAGACACTCAGGAAAGAGGACCCCAGAGCTGCTGCAGAAAGGGAAGGAATGATGGGATGACAGTATCCGATGTGGGGGGAGGATTTCAAGGAGGACTCATGTGTCTTTTACCATAAATTAAAAGGTGGGCAAACATTCACCATTATTTTTTCATCATGCTGGGTACTGACTTGCTTCTAACAAGCAGGATTAATCAGAGTATCACTTCCCAAGCCAGGCTCCCAGCCCCCTCCCCCTTTCTCCCTAGGATCACCACCTGGGAGGCTGCTCCCTCAGCCAGAGAGCCACACACCAGCCCTCCAGAGGGTCGTGTGCATGCGTGGAGCAGAGGCCTCCCCGCAAAAGCTGTGAGGGTGCTGCCAGGGCAGAGAATCCTCCAGCAAGGCAGGCCTTCAGGGGTCTGCCACCTCAAAGCCAGCAGGCTAGGACCGCCCATCGAGGCCACTTCCTGATTCCTGACCCACAGAGACTGAGATAATAAACATTTATTTTAAGCCACTCTGTTTTGTGGTAATTTGTATGCAGCAACTGATGATTGATATAAAGTGTGAAAGAATTTTAAATAAATTTGCTTCTTGACTTAGAATAAACATACAAAAAGTGCACAATGGTCAGGCATGCCTATAATCCCAGCACTCTGACAGGCTGAGGCAAAAGGATCACAAGATGCAGCCCAGCCTGGGCAACTTAGTAATTTAGCAAGACCCTGTCTCAAAACAAGAAGTTAAAGGGCTGGGCATGCAGCTCAGTGCAAAAACCCTTGCAATCCTCAGTACCACAAATGCAAAAAGCTCTTAAAATACATTTAAAACTTCTGTAACTGAGCTGGGGATTTAGCTCAGCAGCACAGCACCTGCCTAGCAAGCGCAAGGTTGTGAATTTGATTCCCGGTACCAAAAAATACAATTTTGTAACTGATAATTCTAATGTATGAAGTCTTTGTAAGTCTGAGTCTGTTTTGTTTATTTTGTGTTTAGAGACAGGGTCTTGCTGTGTCATCCAGTCTGGCCTTGAACTCACTATATACCACAGGCTGCCTCAAGCTCACACTCCTCCTGCCCCAGCCTCCTGAGTGCTCAGGTTACAGGGGTGCGCCACCACACCCAGCTTCCCATGTTATGTTCTCAGCTTGGTGGTTTGTTTTGTTTTGTTTTGGTGCTGGGATGGAACCGGGACTCACACTAAGCAAGCACTCTGCCACCGAACTGCACACTGGCCACTCTTGCTGCTGCTGCTTATGTTATCTATGCAGCTGCTCATTTTTCTTGAATGGTATGAGTGCAAATTCTTTAGAGACTGATGTGCATAAAGGTTCATCCAAGTGGGACCTGCACTTCCTTTTTTTTTTTTTGTCTTTTTGAGACAGGGTCTTGCTATGCATTTCAGGCTGGCCTCAAGCTCACTTCTGTAGCCCAGGCTGGCCTCAAACTCCCAACAGTCCTTCTGCCTCAGCCTCCCAAGTGCTGGGATTACAGGCATGCACCACCACGCCTGGCAAAGTTACTTTTTTGTGGGGGTGGGTGGGTACTGGGAATCAAACTCAGGACCTTGCACTTACCAAGCAGGCGCTGTGCCACTGAGCTCTATCCCCAGCTGCACTTCCACCAGGCATCTGAGGTCACCACACTCTGGGAACACTTAAGTCCTCAGCCCCAGGTTCCAGTGTGCATGTCCGCACAGCAGGAGGGCCTTCCCTTCTTCTGGGATGTGGCAAGGCTCAACCCCAGTCGGATGCCAGGACGGTGGGTGTCCAAGTTCTCAGAGCACCCCCAGCTTTATGGAGGGCTCGAACTGGGCCCCTCAGTTTTGCACAGGTCTTGGGTTTTCCTGCCCCAAGACACTGAAGACCCCAAAAACCAATTCTCAGTTTCACCTGGTTTGTCAAATATCCACAAGGCAAAGCTGGGTGTGGGCATTCCGCTACTTCCCTGACATTTTTGCCCAGGTATTCCTGACTTTCTTGCTAGCTTGCTGCTGTGTGTATTTTTATCATGGAGAAAAGACTTACATATTATGGTACAAAATGGACTGAAATCTGAACTCACTAAAGAACTAACAAATTTTATTTTCCTTTCTCCATATGCATCACCTTTGGAACTTCAAGGGATGTGAAAGCCATATGAACCTGTGAGATATTTCTACCAGCCTAGCTTTAAGTTACCAGCTAATTTGTGGAGACTTGGTGGAGATCTGTTTTTGAGTTTTGCTTTGTTTTTGCGGTGCTGGGGGTTCAACCCAGGGCCTCGAGGCTGCAAGGTGAGTACTCTACCACTGAGCTACATCCCAGCCCCTTTCTGCTCCATCTAAAAAGTATTTGTTGGCATTATTTACTCAGTACTTCTGATTTTCTAAAAAGGGAGGCTTAGTCCCGGCGGCTACAGGACTCTGTGTGACAGGCTCCGCGTCACCCTCTGCATCACTCGTTGCCACCTTCTCCAGGCCCTCCCCAGCTTTTCCTTCCCTTTATCAACCCACGCTGTCACCTGACCACTTAACTCTCCACGAGAATTTACTTTTAATTAATGTTTATTAGTGCATGTTTGCAGTACACAATAATCACTCCCCATGGGCAGCTGGTGCATGGACAGAGCACAGCTTCGTTCCTTTCACGTCCCCTCCCACCCCCACCAACTCTTGGTCCCTTTCTCTTTGCAAAAGATCAAAATCCCTATTTCCTATTATCTATCTTTTATTTCACTCTTTATATTTGGGGTTTCCACGTAAGAGAAACCACGCAATTTTTAAGCTTGTATGTCTGACTTATTTCACATAATATCCATTTTCCTACAAATGACTCAAGTGTATCCTTCCTTGTGGCAGAGCAGGGTTCCACTGTGCGGAAACACATTTCCTTGATTCATTCATCTGCTGATGAACGCGTGGGCCACGTCCAAGATTTAGCTGTTATGAGTTGAGCTGCTATAAACATGGGCGTGCGTGGGTCACTGTAATACGATGTCCTTAACTCTTTCTGCAACACACCCAGAAGGGGAATAGCTGGGTCTAATGCAATTTCTATTTTTAGTTTTTGGAGGAATCCCATACTAATGGTTGCACTAGTGACATTCCCTCAGTTTAATAACCATATTCTTCATTTCCAAGATTTCTAATCAATTCTTTCTTATGGCTAATTTCTATTCTTTTTTTTTTTTTTTTTTTTTTTTTTTTTTTTTTTGGTTTTTCTCCGGTACCGGGAACCGAACTCACGACCTTGCGCTTGCAAGGCAGGCGCTTTGCCGCTGAGCTAAATCCCCAGCCCCTTAATTTCTATTCTTGACCTGTGGGGACCAGGCCCTCTCTTCGCTCTCCGATAAAACATTTAATGCTCACTTTAGGATGGCACATTTCAATTTCTTTGGATTAAATGTTCCCCTTGTTGGGCTGCTGGCCATTGTTTAGGGCACTGGCTTCCCCCGTGTTTTGTGATTTCTGTCTGAAAGCCCATGGTACATGGCAGGTTTTGCTTTTTTCTTTCTTCATGGGTAGTCTCCGCTGGGGCCCTAAGGTCACACACTCAGAACTGTACCTTTCAGGAGCACCTGGCCCTCGCCCTGGGGACAACCCTACTCTGGTCCCCTAGCTGATGCCAAGCAGGCACCCGGTTCTCTGTCACCACGCATCCGAGTCCTCCCACTGCCAGACCCGCATCCCGTGATGCCCGGATGTGTGGGGAGCCCTCCCACCTCTTCATCCTAGGGAAGGAAGGCAGCTCTGCTCCTGACACCGTGGGCTCATGCGGACCCTGTCCCTTGTGGGAACCAGTCCTGGCTTGCCCCACGAGTCAGCAAGGGACCTGCTACCCAGTCCTCGCTCACAGCTGCAGTTCCTGCTTCTCCTGAGAGTAGCTTCGGGAATTTAACTTGCAAGCTTTGATCATTACCTGGGTGTGCTGGCCTCGTTACACACACCCACTATGGCCCCAGCCTCGGCCCAGCTCTGTTGGCCAGAGCTGCACCACTGAGTTTCAGGAGCCCAGCACCGAGGGTGGAACACACTGTGCGGCTTTGGGCAGGCAGCTCACGGAACCCAGGGCAGCAGGCTGCCACACTGCAGCCAGTCCCCAGAGGAGGCCCTGGGTCTTCAAGCCAAGACCCGGGCCGGGGAACCAGACCATACCTGAAAGCTCTCATGTGTCAGCCTCTAGCAGCTGGACCCCTCTGCCTCATGCCTGTCCTCAGGAGCCTGGTCCAGCTCTGACTTGCAGGCAGGGAGAGGGGCTGCTGAGTGTCCAGCAGGAGGGGTCTCAAATCTGGAGTGGCCCCCAGGGAGTTCTGCAGGGCCTCGTGGTCTCCTCCTTTCTCATCTGTGTGGGGGTCCACGAGGACTGGGGTGGGACACTAGGCAAAGCCTGGGCACACAGGAGGTCTCAAGAGAACTCCAGACCCTGTCTCTGTCACCCAGGCAATTTGAGATGACAGCAGTGGGCCATGATTTGGATCCAGGTAAGTCCCAGGTTCTCTCCCACTCCAGCCTTCCCCGGAATAATTTGCCTCCAACACCACCGCTATCACTGCCCTGTCTTAAAGCCAAACCCACCGTACCCAGGACACACCTGACAGGTTTCTGCTGCACACAGGGATTTACTTGTTTCCACTTCTGAGACTGGAAGAAGCTCAGCACAGACATATGTACAGGTCTAGACACACTCGCTCAGAGTGGCAGGGACCCTTGGGACAGGAGCTGTCCCTGCCCCATGGGGCTCGGCCCCAATTCAGCTGCTTCAGTTGTCCAGGAAGACCTGGGGCGATGCCAACCTGGCCCCACCTGCCGAGGCCATCTACAGGTGGAGGGGCAGCAGCCACCTCAGTCAGAGTCACAGGCCTCCTGCTCGGTGCTGGCGTCCACAGCAGAGGCCAGGCTATCCTCCTGGCCTTTCAGCCTTTCACCTGGGAGGGGGCAGACAGATGGTGGAGAAGGGCCCTGGGTCTGGGCCACCACCTCGAGGGCTGGACCCCGGCCTGCCGGCTGCACTTACGGATCAGCTCGGCAATGGCCCGCTGCGTCCGCTTCTCCAGCTTCTCCAGCTTCTTGGCCACATCTCTCTTGAGGTCCCTGCAGGCAGAGGCAGGGTGACGGCTTGGGGGGCACCTGTACTCCCTGGCGGCCCACTAGGAGAAGACTGGTGCTTCCCTCCTCTCTGCACCCTCAGAAACTCAGCCCCAGGGAGGCAGAGGCAGAACACCCTCCCCAGGCAAGGGGCCAGGCCAAGGCGTGCTCGGGACACTCCTGGCCCGGTCCCTTGGTGAGTCAGAAGTGACTTGCCCTGGGTACCCCAGCTGGCTCAGCCTGCTCCCCCAGGCTCTGGGCTTCCTAGGCACACACACGCCCGAGGCTTTTCCTTCTCAGGGAACACCGGCAGCCGGTGCTGTTCTCCATCTCACACTCAGGGCAAAGGGACAGAGCCCAGGGCAGGGTGAGCCCCAAGCCTCCCACCCCAGCGCCTGCCCTCCCCTCCCCCTCACCCAGTGGGAGCGGCTCTACGGACCAGGAGGGTCTGAGGATGGGCACCTCAATCTACACAAAAGCAGGGAAAGAGGGGAGCAGGGACAGAAGCTGTGCCTGCCTCTCCCTCACCTGCTCGGCACGCCCTCTCAGCGCATCCCAGGCCCGTGGGGAAGCGGCACGGTCCCCGCCCCACAGCCCGCGCCTGGCCGCAGCAACACTCACCAGTCGGGCTTCCGGGGTGCCAGGTTGGCCAGGTCCTGCGGGGGAGACGCGCGTCAGGGTGCAGGGCCCCGGGGATGTGGGACGACAGGGCCAGAGGGAAGGGGTGGGAGGAAGGACAGCAGGGGCACAGGACGGGGGCGATGGAAGGACCACCCTGGCAGGCACTCACCACTTCCTCGATGACAGGCTCGGGCTTGGCGGCCTCCAGCTGCTCCTTCACCTTCTCTTCCACTAGAGGGCGCAAGACAACAACGCAGGCCCCTCAGGAAGGCGCTGCCCCTGCTGTCCCACCCACCTCTTCCCCGGCTCCCAACCAGGCAGTTCTGGAGGGGCGGCCTGGGCCCCCCATGGAACAGAAGGGCCAGCAGGGAGCTGCAAGTCAGAGCTGACAGGACCCAGACCACTACTTGTGGCCACAGCCTGCCCACAGTGGAGGGCTGCCTGGATATCCAGAAGTGGGGTCTCCTGTGTCCTGGCCTGGCCGGAGCCACAGATGGCTTTTCTTCCCGTCCCAGCTCAGATGTGCACTGACAGGCTTCCGGGTCTCCTAGGGGGTCAGATGCAGAAGCACCCACAACTCTGGGCTCCTCCAGCCCGGTCACCCAGGGGCCCCTGGGCGCAGTCCTGCTCTTTGATATGAGCGGGGTGCTCCTGGTCCCGAGGCCAGGCTGGCTCCCCGTCCCTCTCTGCAGCCTCATCGCCCCTGCCCTGATCTTGCTGCTGCCCCCCAGGTGGGTCCGATCACAGAGCATCACAGGCAGCGTGGGGCCTCAGGGAAGGGGGAAGCGGAAAGCAGCCGGGAGGCGGGCGGGGGCCGTGGGACACGTCAGGCATGCATCTGTTTGCCTACAGCGGCACCTGGGCGCTCACCTGTAACTGGTCCTGGGAGGCACAGGCACCAAACACATTGTTTTGGTTGGAAAGGGTGGCCGGCCACAAGGCAACCAACACCAACAAGTTCTAACCTGCACATCAGGTACTAAACAACCAATACCACACAAAATTTCTGCATCAAAATGCATCGAGTAACAAAATTTGACAAGTTTCAAAGTGGTCAAATACAAGGTGTGAGTGTATACACTAGGCAGTCCTGGGGATGGAACCCAGCGCCTCGCTCCTGTTTGGTAAGCATTCTACCATGGAGCTGCCCTGTGAGCCCTGAATGTGTCTGTTCATTCATTACTTATACCATTAAAAGTTAATAACAAAACCAAGTGCAATCCTAGTGCTCAGGAGGCTGAGGCAGGAAGATTGCCATGAGTCTGAGGCCAGGCTGGACTATATGAGTTCAAAAACAGCCTGAGTTACATATCGAGACCCTGCCTCAGGAAAAGAAAAAAAAAAAAAGAAATAAGTTGGGGCTGGGGATTTAGCTCAGCGGCACAGCGCCTGCCCAGCAAGCACAAGGTTGTGAATTCAATTCCCAGTACCAGGAAAAAAACAGACCCTGCCTCAAAAAACAAACAAGAGCTGAAAATAGGCCTGGAGATATAGCTCAGCATTTGCCCAGCATGTGCGAGACCCTGAGTTTGATCCCTAGCAGTGCCAAAAGTTGGAAACATGGGGCCAGGGAGCAGGAGGTCCTGGCAGGCACGTACGCTGGGCCCAAGCCCTGGCTGCTTCGCTGCTCATACCATGGCAAGGCTGGAAGCAGCCAGTCCCCGGCCCTGGTGCCGCCTGCTGCATGCTCTAAGACCCACGGGACTAATCAGCGGCCCTGCTGTCCAAGGGGCCCCGGACCACTTCCGTTCCTCACCCCAAGGAATCCTGAGGCCAGGGCTGAGAAGACGCAGAGGCTGCTCTAAGCCTCACAGCCTCCTGGGAAGACTGACTGTGCCCCCGCTGGGGATATTGCTGGTGAGCGGGTCCTAGAGGCCCAAGGAGGCAGTCACCTACCTGCAACTGGTTTGGCCTGGGGGACCCTCCTCCTTTTCAGGTCCTCATCCTCTGGGACGTAGTTTCGTAGCCTGAGTTCCCTGTGACAGCAGAGAGCACGGCAGAGATGAGTCACCTGCAGGACAGCCTCGCTGTGTGACCTTCGAGCCAAAATGCCCCATGCCTACTCAGGCAGGCCACTTCCTGACTCCCCTCAGCCTCTCCAGAGATAGCCAGTTTTAACGGACATAAAAAGCAGAGGCACCATGGGGACAAGTCCCCACCCTCCCCAGCCATTCAGGGCCAGGCCAACTGCCCCCCAAGGGCCCTGTCCATGCCACAGAAGTACAGGATCCTATGGCACAGCACCCACTGGGTTTCTCCAGCACCATTTCACGTGGGGACTGCCACGTGAGACCACAGCGGGGCGCGTGGCTGGGCTGAGTTAGTCTTGCACTGGAAGCGAGGGGTCACCCAGCAGTTCCCCCAGCCCAGCCCCTCCTCAGTCTTGCAATCTGGGGCCAAATTACACAGTCCTTCAACTGCTAGTGGAAAAGGCCTGCGTGCGCTACCTCAAAGGTACGTGGCCGTGTGTGGAGGGCAGTGACTCGAGCACAGGTGCCCACAGGGCACCTGAGGAGTGGCGGGGTGCTGTAGCTGGTGGAAGCATGGAAGGACGCCATGAGGAGGTGGCAGACAGGGCCAAAGGACGTAACACACACGAGGATGACCCCACCACACAGTTGTGGGGAGCGGCCAGGGAGGCTGCGGGACAAGCGTGACCAGGGCAGGTCCAGTGCACAGCCAGTGCCCCCACCAGAGGCCCCTGAAATTCCACCAGGACACCCGCCTGTGTGAAGGGGGAAGAGCCACACAGCTGCTTCTGCCCCCTCTCCCCCGCAGGGGTCTCGGCAGATCCTGGCCCCTCACGCGCACACGGACAGCACTGCCCTAGAGAGCAGAGGCCCTGGTCACTGGACGGGGCAGTCAGCTCAGAGTGCCTGGGGGCTTCAGAAGGGGATCCCCACCTCCTCACCACCTGTCTCAGGTCCTTGACCATGGGCTCCTCAGAGACTCCTCGGCTCCCAGAGAGGGGAGTTTCCCCAAAGAGGCCACCCACTATCTGTCTCCCATGACCCCTCCATCCAGGCAAGAGGGGAGGACCGGGCTCTCCAGGGGACGCGGGGACTTGGGCCACATGGCTGGACACCAGTGGCAGTACCTCCGGCTCACACACCACACCAGCACTCCCATCCCCAGGGCCCAGCTGACCCGCTGGCGTGGAGGAAACCCAGCCCACACCGGGAGCCCACTTGCCCTAAGGGCAGTGACCCCCGCCTCCTCAGGCCTGCTGCGGCCTGGGGTGAGCAGAGGCGCACTGGGGCACACTGGGGCACACTGTGAGAAAGTGAAGCTGACTCGCAGCAGTGACTTGTTCACGGAAGGGTGGGGAGAAAGCGGAAGAGGAACTGGGTGTAGGAAGACAGTCCCAGGGATTAGTGAGAAAGAAAACCCGGCTCAAGCTTCCGTGAGTAACCCTGGCCTCCGCCCACGCCTGCTGGAAACAGAAAGGACGCAACAGGTGGGCAGGAGGCCGGGCCAGAAGACAGGCAGCGGCCCCCGCCCAACACCCTGTGCGTCCCACGGCTGAGCCTGCTCACACGGTCAGGAACACCTGGCCTTCTAGGCCTTGGTTTCCCCATCTGCAAGCACAAAGGCTATGCTGGGTTCCAGCTCTCTCCAGAGAGCAAATGCCCACTTAACTGCCTCCCCCTGCCAAAGGGGAGCAGGCACAGGGGAAGCAGCACTGGGCTCTGCTGGGGACCTGGCCCTTCCAAAACAGGGCCCAGACTCAAGCCCCCTTCTACAAATCACTTAGCAAGGCTGATGGGGGATACAAACATCAACTTGGAGAAGCACTATGCAACAAGGCTCAGGCCCAGGCAGAGATAAGGGAAGTGTGACAATATAACACCGGGCCTCTCTCCCTTTGGACTATCTGTTTACAAGCAGTGGCTCCAAACCTGCACTTCCTGCAGTCTTCTAACAGCAGAGAGGAGAGAAATGTGCTGAGGGTGACCGCGGAGTAGTGCCCTGCCAAAAGGTAGAAAAGATTCTCTCTGGAGGACAGTAAATGACCCAGAACCTCAAATTTATCTCCAGAAATTTTCATATACAACATCCAGGATTCAAGTAAAACCATGAGGAAAAATAAACAGAAATACACGCACAAGAAATATACACGCTGGAATTATCAGAAATGAAATTTAAAATAATCACAATTAATAAAAATTCAAGAAAGTAGACCACAAGATAATTTTAGCAGAGAACTGGACACTGTAAAAATGAATTAAATGGAGCCAGGTATGGTGGCACATACCTATAATCCCAGCATTCAGGAGGCTGAAGTAGGAGGATTGCCACGAGTTTAAGTCCAGCCTACACTACATAGGAAGACCTGTCTCAAACAAACAAACAAAACTAATTAAATGGAAACTCCAGAGCTAAGAAATAGAACCAAAATTTAGAGCTCAGTGAAAGGTCTGAACAGCAGTTTAGATAGAGGTGAAGAAAGAACAGTGAATGTTAAGATATGCCAGAAAATATCCAGACTGAGGCACAGAAGAATTTAGTCAGAAAATACAAAAACTTACAAGACATAATGGAATGGAATGAAAGACCAACACATATATAACTAGAGTGTCAGTAGTAATATTCAAAGAGACAATGACTAAAAATTTCAGAATCAAAGAATCATACAGAATTAATGAAGGAAATAATCATCAACCAAAACCACAGGTTAAAGAAAACTACCTTTAACATAGGTTAAAGAAATTTACTAGGGTAAAGTAAATAACCCCAAAAAGCATACCTAGACAAGTCACTGCCAAACAACTAAAAAAGAAACAAAAACCCAAAGAGAAACATCCAACCTTCAAAGAAAAAAATACTAAGACTGCCAGCAGACTTCTCAACTGAATGCATGGAAACCATTAGCTAGTGGAATGCTATCTGAGAGGTATACAGAGAAAATAAAACACCATAAAAGAATTCTAATCTATTTCACAAGGCTTCAAGGCAGAAAATCCAAGACAGAGCCAGGTATGGTAGTACACACCTGTAATCTCAGCACTCAGGAGGCTGAGGCAAGAGGATTGATTTGAGTTCATGGCCAACCTGGACTACATAGTGAGTTTAAGGTCAGTCTAAACAACATAATGAGATCCTATCTCAAGAAAAACCCTGAACAGAGAAAAAGAGAGAGAGAGAGAGAGAGAGAGGGAGGGAGGGAGGGAGGGAGAGAGGGAGAGAGAGAGAGAGAGAGAAAGGAGGGAAGGAGGGAGGGAGGGAGGGAGGGAGGGAAAGAAAATTCAAGACAAAAAAAAAAAGAAAATTCAAGACAGAGGGGAGCCTGTGACACACACCTATAACCCCAGCACTCAGGAGGTTGAGCAGCATGATCACTGAGAGTTTAAGACCAGCCTGACCTACATAGAGACCCTGTCTAACCAAAAAAACAAAAAAAGATGTAAATGACATCAAAATGTTTTGAGGCCTAGAATTGTATGGGAAATGATGAAAGTGCTACTACTTTTTATTAGGCTTTGTTAAGTTAAAGATGTAGCCGTTATGTCTATGGAAACTACTTAAAAGAAGGGAAAAGAGTACATAAGAGTATATAATTAACAAGAGGAAGGAAATGAGATGATTAAACCTAAAAGACCTGAACTGAGATAAGAAAGGAAAGGCAAAAAACACAGTAAGGTCCTAGACTCCCAACCTCCCTTTACAGCAGCTGAGGCTGCCACTGCCCTGCTCTGGAGCCTGGCAGGGTGTGACCACAGTGCCAGCCAGACCAGTGCGGTGGGCCACTATCCCAGCCCATGTCCGCCAGCCAGGAGACACTGAAGCTGCTCCAGCAGCGGCCACTGGCAGCTGATGATACCTTTCGGGGCCACAGGAGCCCAACGCTGCAGAGGGAGGAGGTGCTGGAACCTCGGACCCTCAGTGCTTTGGAGAGCCGGGGGAGATCGTGCCGTCCTCAGCACACGTGGAGAAAATCAACGCACCTGTGAATCCCAAGGCTATGTGTGGAGCGATCAGTGTGGATACCAGCAGTGGACAGAGCACTGTCCTGCAGGACAGAGGTCTCACAACCCAGGAACATGGCCTTCCCACCTCCCCCACCGGCCAGTAGCCTCTCACAACGCCTCTCCCCCCTCCGCATGTGGGTCACCCCCACTTCTGCATAATACACCAGCAGTAGCCAAAGAGCCTCCTTCATCCTCCCTCTCTGTCTGTCCCTAGTCCTGGTCCCAAACTTGGTATCACGTCTAGTGAGCCCGGAAATGGCCCAGTAGGGGCCTGGCTTATCTTGCTCATCTCTGCAGCTCTCTCTCTGTAAGTGGGTATAGAGCAGACCTGGACAGGAAGACAGAGCAGGATCCAATTCCACAGCCCTAACTCCTATGGCCAAGGCAATGCCAGAGGCAGATGACAGGAAGTGTGCAAAGATCCCCAGGCTCCTAGCTCTCAAGGAGCTGTAGGCAAAGGTACACGAGAGAGCCAGGCCTCCCCATCCTACAGCTGCTGCACAAGGACACAGCCACCAGACCCCCTTCCTGGGGCAGGGGGACACAGTGAGCAAACTGGCTATATGCCAACCAGAAATGTCACACACACAGCAGAGGGACAACACACTCTATGACCCTCCCTGGAATGAACACCAAGACACACTGCAGGACTGAGAAGAGCAGGAGGAGGATGGGGAGTGGAGTATGCAGATACGGGAGGATTCCATCTGGTGCACAGCCTGTGGGAGGGTGAGGCAGGAGGATCATTTTGGAGTTCAAGACCAGCCTGGGCAAGATAGCGATTTCAAGACCAATCTGGGCTACAGGGCAAGACCCTGACTCAAAAAAATACAATAAAATCTTTCCTCAAATAGCTATACCCATTAGGTGGATCATTATACAACCACTGAAAATAAGTTTGTGTAAAGGATTGGTTTGAACATGTAACAGAAAATTCACAGGGGGAAATGTTTTAACCTTCTTCAATTTTCTGTAATTTCCAGAGTTCCTGAAGTAATCAGCATTCT